TAAGAAAATTACAATGCGCCAAAATAATTTCTGCCATAAACTGATCGACATAATTCGTAAGCGGTGTAGTTTGACGTACACCAGACAGTGCAAGTGGAACGTAGGCCTACCTGGCTGCCGCAGGTTTGATAAATTCCAAACTTCAATGTTGCTTGTGCCATGCCGTTTCCGTCCTGTGATCGGATTACATGTATCAGGCGGAACATGGCGTGGAATTATATGTTATGGAATCTAGCTGTGTCAAATGTGTGAAAAATCCATGTTCAGGTGATGCGAAAGAAAATATCCTGAACTAAAACCTGCTAATTAATGCAAAAAAAGGACGACTGCCTTCGACAACATACGGACTTGCTACACGTGCAAAAAGGGAATTCCCCCCGGTGAGAAATGGCCAGCGCAATATGCACGGCGAACAAGGACACCAGCGTGCCAGTGTTTTTTGAACACACTGGTTTCCGACTGTCGAGTCACATCGGCCGTATGACAATCACGCTTTGCACTTGTGCTAACGTACCCTTATACATTGTACATGTACATAAACCTGTACGTGTACAGTACATACATGTACACGTACATGTACACGTACATGTACATGTGTTTGTATTATACTGTACACTGTACATGTACATGTGGCTTGATTGCCTGTGACTTAGTGACTTGAGCATATTTCTTTCCCATTCACCAATAAAGTATTCTTTGTGAAAAACAAACAAGAAAAAAGAAAAACAAAAAGAACCAAATCATACAAAACAACTGGGGTACATTTGCCCCGGATGGATGCGTCGTGTGTGTTAGTTTCACAGCCACAAAAACCTGACTTTGCCAATCGGGAACAAGATATTTGCCCCATACATGTATTTCAGGTTTGTACATCAGGGTACTGATTTAACAGTATTTATTTTGGGATGAATGCGTGAATATCTGGGCTGTTCTAAATGTTAAGAGAGGTGAGCTGGACTACATGTGCGAACGTTTTTAACACTTTTCAATTTTTTGGTTACTTGGATTACCCCGAGAACTTTTACTAAAAAACCAAGACAAAGAAAAATAACAGAAAGAAAATAAAAATGGCATTTACATTTGCAAAATGGTCTTGAAAAATTAGTTTGTTGTTAAACGTGCAAAGCCTTCCCTGAAGGCTGAAGTCACACTGCTTGCGTGAACTTCATGGACGAGCACATTGATGCACTCAACCCCACGTTATCGCTTGTATGTCCACCCAATCGCTCGTATCTCCACGTATCAAAGCCACCATGCAATAGATGCACAGTAGATATCTGTTCCATGTACAGTACATGTACACTATATGATCGTGTATAATACATGTATTTCCACACCGCGACCTAATTCTATGAAAGTGAATCTTTGCCCCTGGGGAAGATTCCAATAGGATCGAATCGTCTGCAAACCGACAAGTTTTGCATATTGTTTATATCTCGAAAACACTGCTGAAGCATTCGTCAGTGCAGACGTTTGTTCCACTCGACCACAGAGCTTGCCGGCGTCGGCTACCTGGTTGTGTCAGATCGAAGTTGTAGCGGGTACCGCCAACAACTACGTGTATATTCAACAGTTAGTAAAACATCGTATATGTTGTAATACACGTTGGGCATGGTTAAAACAAATAAAAATAATAATTAACATTTCCCATGAGCAAATCCACCCTTCAACATACGTACAATGGAAGTTTAACCCTGTACCGTTGGGCAATGAAGCCATGAGTACCAACAAAGACCCTTGCATGATGCATCTCTTTCTGCAGTCTCTATGGAATGGTAATTTACAATGTGTTTTGTTGAGGTTGAGTAGAGGCTCCGTGATACCAGTGTGTAGCTTAATTTTAAAAATTAATATTTAATCGTAAATCTTTTGATATGTCAGTACGGATTTCCCTCCTTTAAAATCTCCCCACATGCTACATGTAAATCCTTTTCGAATAAAATAGTAATGCATGTTTGGGAGTGTGTCTCTTGTGGGAATTAAAATATGCCATGCCTCCTACAGATGATCAATCTACTAACTTCCTATTGCCCCACCGATGACCATGCCAAGATAAGTCATAATACCTTTACCTAGGTATGTAGGAGAGGTTATAAGGGCAAGATCGCCGGTAGATAACCACTAGGGGGTCATAAAAAATATGTCCGTTTAGCTGTCATTTCAAATTGGATGCTTGCTTTTGAAGTTGGAGAGGTCAAACACAGATTTGTTTAAATGGGAGAAATAATGCGTCAATTATTTGAATCCGTTATTAGATCTTTACAAATTCTGAAAAAAAGGTTTCAGAAGTCGGGAAAAGGCGTTAATTCGACGTACTAGTTTTCAGTATTACGTACCAATAGTTTCATTAAAAAAAGAGAGAATTTGATCAAACCCCTCCAAAAACAGACACATTGGCCTACATGTACTCACAGCAACTAAAAAAGTCCAAGGAATGCCAAATATGATGAACAATATTTCAGTGGTGGGAAAATGGCTTTGGTTCGAAACATTTCTGAACAACATGTAGCACTTTTTATGTAGGCCTAAAGGGCCTACGCTGAACCTCCTCCTTAAAAATTGAAAATTCTAGAAATCAAAATAGTATTTAATTTTTCGCAAAAAAAACCCTTTATGCAACCTTCAGGCTTAGTTGTTCAGGCTAAAACACATTCATGTACATCAACTAAATTCAACGTAATCAAACGTACATGTACATCACTCAAGCACGTTGTACATGTACTTGTATATCACCCCGAACACCAGCAATAACACGTAATTAGTGCCCATGTATCCGTAAACAAAAGGTTTGCCAACAGGTTTTACACAATCTTTAATAGGCCAATTGCTTAATTTTAATTCTTTTATACAACGCATTGGGATCATCCTCACGGACTTAAAATCAAGGTTGCGTTCTTCGGGACAGATGACGTGACCTTCAAACAGAAACACCGCCTGCTAAAAACTAAGCACTGTTCCAGTGAATTTGCTGAGAAGCAAGTACATACATATATCAAAATGGAAGCCCACCTTCAGGTAATCACAAAATTAAAAATCCACGTCAGTTACCCACCACCCCTTCCCAGACAATAAAGTCCACATTCCTGACGGAACTGACATGTATTAATATAAACAGATCGTCGATCGGGTAATACCGAATGCCTGCACGGAAAATTCCTTCCGGAAAGAACACAGCATGTACGAAAATATGTACGAAATGCCAACTTTCAAATGCAGATATACAGTTACGGTAGTTATTTTACTTGCCGACACGACCTGACGGACAACGCAAGGGGCAAAGTCCCTCGTTTGTCGATAACGATGAAATGCAAACACACTGTACAAATACATTACAGTTTGATCCCAAACGAACACGAGGACAGTTCCTTTTGTTGAAAATCATGCTTCCGCAATCCAGTCACTACAGTAAATTTCAATTTGGAGACAGGAATGGTCTAACCTTCGCACTTTCCACTCAAATTGTATAAGCAGTTGAACAGAAATAAAATGCATGGGTAAACCATGATGAAGCGAGCCATTCTCGGGTCGACCACAATTACGGACGTAACCGCAACCTGACCTGATCACAGTCACATACTGGAAGCTTGTTCGTACTTGGGAAGTTAGCCAAAGTTTACACGGGTCAATGGACCCTCGTAGTCGCTCGTTTTACAGTTGTGTGTTTTACGTGCGGGCGCGAGGATAATCGAGCGAGTTCGCGCGAGGGCAAAAAACCGCGAGGATTTGCGAGACATCTCGAGCGGTTACGAGATCTCGTAAACACACTTTAACGCTCGTAAGTCCACGTACTCGCTCGCATTTTCATGGGTCTTCAATTAAATCACAAGTGTACGTGATGGGGACAGGGTGTTCTCCTGGAAGTGAAACACAAAAGAGGGACAAGCTTGTCATAGCTTTGTGTTTTTGTAATTTTTGTTTTCATTATATCACAAATACACAAAAATTATGACCACTTTTGAAATACATGTGTTTAAACATACATACATGTACAAACAAGTATACAGCACCATAATAATTGTACACAATGCACGCAGGAACATTGTAGGATGTCTTGACAGTGACTCAAACAAGGTATGTTTCAATGTGAATAGCGGCATAGCCCATAGTAGCATTCATGCAAAATAGACTTGTTGTAGTCAAGTGTGGTATTTTTCTGGCTGCAATATGGGTAACAAACATACATGTACATGTATGTATATTACTTAAAGTGACACCAAAAATGCTACCGTTGTTCATATGAAATCAATTTTTATGTGAAAAGCACACAGCCTCCCCCCACATTGCCTTTCAGACCTGTTGTAACATGGTAGGTTGAGACTGAGACAA